TATCCCGACAGAATGTAGAGAGCCATGGTCCACAAACAGCGCCCTCTTTTTAATATCTGTGAACTGCATTGACTTCTATGGAAAGATAATGGAGTCATTTCTCGTTGTTTTCATCGCAGTTTTGATTCCAGAGTAATTTTTCACCTAGTCTGGTTGCTAATCGATGTGAAGAAGCTCTAAAATTTAACCAATAGTTTACCGGGGAAATGATGGATTCATGCCTTTACTAAGTGTAAGTGAACGTATAAGATTAGGCGAGAATTGAATTCGTATCGAGCTTAAAGCCATATCACCGAAGTTAAGCAACCTCCAGCCGGGCCAGTACCTAGATAGATGACCGCACGGTAATGCCAAGTGCTGCAAGCTTCGATGTGCGTGGGTTATGGAATAGATAGCGTCTCAGAATGAGAAAAATCGTAGGGTAGTGACTCATTCTTACCCAGGAACTTGACTCAGACCTACGTCAAACAAAAGAGCTTCACAGGCGGAGAAGATGAAAAATAACTCGACTCACCGAATGCACTTGCCATGCAGATGACAATTACGCTACTTACACGTCATTATTAAATTCTTCTCCCATTATCCTGGGTACTACGCTGAGTCTGATCTTCCTCAACGGTCTCCCCGATGTCATCAGTCCACAACTAGGTATTTATGCAGATAACCATTTACATTTGTCTCAGTAGCAAATCCGACAGAACTGAAAAAGTAAACCTGGAAACTGAAATTTGAAAACGACTTCCAATCACTTGTTAACTGGGGCAAGAAATGGCTTGTTAATTTTAACACCTCCAAAGCAAAACTGCTTTCATTTAACCACCACAGACAACATTTTCTACATACCAGCTTAACCTGAAGATCCGTTTAGGTGAAACCTAGTTACATTTTCCTGGCTCTTTAGGATTTATTATTATTATTATATATATATATATATATATATATATATATATATATATATATATAGTTATACTCTGTTTGGAAAAACAATTGGGTATTTTGGCTTGTAATTAAACAAACCAATGCCCAAGGGAAAATAGGGATAAAAAGAAAGACCATGAAATTGAGGCGAAAATAATCGTCTAGAATTCAAGCTCAGAGTTCAAAGAAAAAAAACCTTCAAAATGAGTAAAGCAAAAGTAACTACGTAAATTGTTCAATACGCTAAGTAGAGCAAATCTAACTATGAACCTAAAGAGCCAGGAAAACCTACCTAGGTTTCACCTATACGGATTGTCAAGGTCAACTGGCCAGTTGACCTTGACGATCTGTATAGGTGAAACCTGGCACTTTAGGTTCATTTTTATACATTTAGAGAGAGAGAGAGAGAGAGAGAGAGAGAGAGAATTTTTCATTAAATACAACAAAAATCTGCCTGTCTAATTTTATAATGTATTTTCCTATTTTCGAACCAGATGTTGTATACTGAGATCAAAATATCTGATAAGCTGTCCTAAGTTCATCCTCCTCCTCGAACGAACATTATGTCGAATAGTTAAATTCAGTAATCGTAATGTGTGTATGTGTTTTTTCAGTTGCAATTCAAGTGGGCTTAATTAAATTAACGGTCGCAACTCCTACTGAAAACTGAAGTGTCTCATTCTTTTTAGAGATGGTATCTACTTGCCGTTGCTTAGTGAGGTTCTGCCGGCAACCACAAGAAAGATGTGATCTGAAACAACAGGTTGTCGTTGTACGCACCTTCATATTTTACAACCTCCCTTTTTTATCGGGGATTACTTCCCATTGGTTATGGTACCTGTATTCTCAAACGGTACCCTATCTAAGTACTGACTAAATTCGCTGTTGCTTAACTTCGGTAATCGTTCAAAAATCAGCATTTTCTGTGTGATTTAACCTTGAGCAATGCGAATATCTACCATATGCTTCGTCTGAAAATATTTGCGTATTCAGATGATTATGAAATCAGTTTCTGAATCAGTGAACTCGATTTTCCCTTGTGCAAATTAATTTAAACGACCGCTTTAGTTTCCTTTCTTTCACCATACGGTCAGTTTTAGACCCACTGGAGTGACAGTGTGTCATTGTTTTTATCTGTTATGGTCCGGTTCCTTGTACCACTGTGATATTCCAAGGTAGAACCAATAAAGAAGAACTCGAATACGGATATGGAATAACACAGATATATTACAAACAGGAATATATACAGAGAGATAGAAGGTGTTAGTACGAACAATCAGGTTTAGTAGTAATTATCTGGACGCGACTCTGTTTTGGACTGCCTCTGACTCGACTGACTGACTCGCTCGCTCTGACTGACTGACAGACTCTTGACGGACTTCACTCCAGACTTCAGATTGAACTCTCTGCTTCCTCTTGAGGCGCAGTATTTATTACGTATGGAATAGTCCATTATGTTATTATGGGTAAGGTTCCATAATACTATCCTTCCTCAGATTAAGTTATTTGCAGTGGTGTGTCGTAATATTTTCGGTGTGTGTGATGAAATTTGTTGGGCCTTGAAAAATATTTCGTCATCCATGATTGCATCAGATTTTTATCACGCCCAGACACTATTGTCTCGACTGTCAATTAGTTGTCCTACGGCCATTGTCTGCGATGGACGTTACTCCAAAAAAGCGTGCGAAAATTGTAACGCTGCACGAAGACACTGGCAAGCCTTACCAGTGAGAAAATCCAAGTACTATAGACTGGCCCGTCAACTCTCCTGATTTAAATCCAATCGAGAATCTGTGAGCAGTCTGCAAAGAATGTTGCCTTAAGTCACTCCTTCATCTGTGAAGAGATTGTCCAGCATTCACATACAGGACGACTGGTATTACCTAATGTTTTCGTTTCTTGATACTTTGCTTAATCTTTGGAAGGCATCTTTTGCTATTCTAATGCTCCTTCGGATTTCAGTGTCATATTTACGCGATATATTAAAGCAATTTTTTCCTGTTCTTTTTAAAGAAATATTGAATCCCAGAAAACAAAACCTCCCCTTGAACAATCTCCTACTTTATCTTCCTCTCTTTTCTTCTCCCTCCCTCTCCCTCCATCTCTTGCCTGTGCGCATGCGCCTCTGTTACTATGAACTATATAATTCAACATAACATGGCGTCCTTTTTTTTCTCCTCGGCCTGACTATTTCCTGTGCGCTTAGATGTAACTGTTGTTTTTACCTGCAGATAAAACCTATTTTTAAATTATTTTCATTAATCATTAGTCTGACACTCTGTGGTATAAAAATATTCAATGATTTTAGAAATTTTGTTTCATTTTTCATTCACCTTCAATTTTTGACATATTTCCCTAATTTTATTTGAATTCAATCGCTTCTCACCCTTGACTGATTAATGAATATTTTTATTTCGTTTTTTTTTTTTTTTTTTTTTTTTTTAATTTACATTTGAGTCGCAATTAAGAAAAAGAAGGAAATGTTCACCGAAAATATAGCGGATAGCATTTTTCTGTAAATCAGTGTTACTTTTTAAAATCGTGACATTTATTGACAAATAATCGTCACATTTTTCTGCTGATCGATGTGTTGGTTTTAAGAATTTCTGTTCTGTGACTGGCAAATTGTTCTTAGAAGAAGGCAGACACAAAGAAAAGGTAGAAGAGAAGAGCGATGAAAGAAAAGAAAAGAAAAAAAAAATGACCTGAGATTGTATTGTAAAATACAATCACGGGTCATTTTTCTAATGTCGGTAGAAAGAAATCAAAGTAAAAGGCAGAAGACTGAAAACGTAACAAAGCAAATCTAATGGAACCAAGGAAGAATAAGTAAAAGTCATTTTCTTAACGATATTATTATTTTATTGTACAGCATGGGAGAAAGGTTGGAGTTAAAAAACGTAACGGACAAAATTGGAAAGGACCCAAAGGAAACGGTTTGAAAATTGATGTAAACATGGGTCGGAATTTTCGTCCACGCGATATAATTGATATCTTCTCATTATTTTTATTCTTCCTCCTTCTTCTTCTCTTTTTCTTCTTTTTCTTCCTCCACCTTCTCCTCTTTTTTTTTTCTTTTCCTCCGTCTTCTATTTTCCTTCTTCGTTCTTCTTCTTCTTTTTTTCCTCCTTTCACTTTTTCTACTCCTCCCTCCTCCTCCTCCTCCTCTCAATGAAAATAACCATTTTTCTTCTTCCTCCTCCGCCTAGTTTTTCTTCTTCTCGTTCGTTCTTCTTCTTCTTTCTTCTTCTTCTTCTTCTTCTTTTTCTTCTTCTTCTTTTCAGTATCCTTTCAATCCATATAAACACAGACACCTGAGACGTACCCAAACGGGGAAGTGAAGAGGGGGTTCCAACAAGTTTTCCACGGTATTACCATGAAACCCAGTTTAAACTGACCTTGTGTCACATTCGGTAGTGGCGTGAGCTCAATGAAAAATAACCATTTAAATCTAGGCTGGTTTTAGAAATTGCAAAAATGTGCAGCATCAGCCAATTGGATTAAACTGTTTTCTGACGAGGGCGTCGTTACTCGGACTTCCGTTCAATGTAATTGCACATAAGAAAAATACAGAGAGTATAAAACGTGGCACATAGTACGGCTTTATCACGTTGAATACACTGGTTCTCGTTCACCCGCTTGCCGAAGTTATGCAACCTTAAAACTGGTCAGTACTTAAATGGGCGACCGCTTGGAAATTCCAAGAGTCGTAAGCTTAAATCGATAGATCGAATTCATTAATTTTGATAGGGCAGTTCTTCTTCTAAAGAAAAAAAAAACTCTGATTGCCAATATATGCTGGACTGCAGTCTTATACATTCATAAAAAAAACAGCTTTGGGAGTAAAACTTGACAATAAATATTTCCAGCCTTGGTGTTGAAGTATGATACTATATTAAGCCAGAACGGAAGAGTAGGATGAGAAAGCTAACATGGGAATATCAAAGCAAAGATTACCAGACCAGAATGGCCCACCTTCGAATCATTGCCATGCGACCAGGCGAGCGGTTTAAAAATAATTATGTATATTTTGTTCCATTTTAATTAGGAGTTTCTGTTTGTCTGATATATACATTTTGTACATCATAGATAGATAGATAGATAGTAGCAATGAAAGAGTTATTTAGATAGATAGATAGATAGATGCGATGATGAATGACAATGGCGATATGGAGATCATTACAGCAGCCCAGGACTGGTGAATTACATTCGACATTCAAAACGAGTATGAAATATGGAAATGGATGATGGAAAAGAAAAAGATCAAATATGGAATTGGAAACGAGGAGAATTAAATGGATGGTGAGTGAAGGTTGTTTCGATGGATATTAACGATATCAATTAAAGTAGAACAAAAGGTTGACGATAAAGAACGATGACTAAAAGAGGAAAAACACATAAAGAAAGAATTAGAAAGTGCTTGGATGTGCGGTGTTGAAAATGGAAATCAGAGAGCAGAGCTCGAATTCCAGTCAGGTTCGTTAAATTCACTTACACAGAAACACCCTTCGGAAAAGTATGAACCCATCTCTTCGACAGCAATAGGTTGATAAGCAGGATAGACAGGGTCATATAAAAAAAAAAGCAACCTACTGCAGTAAAATCCTCTGCCTAGTCAGTGCTGGATCGAAAGAGATATGATCTTCAAAGCGTGTATCACGTATGTTTTGTGACATACGGTGGCCGCTAATGATAAGACTTCAATATTAAATAAAACAGTATTTAATTACAACCGCAAATAAATACATAACAAGAACAAAGAAGTAATAGTCAAGCAAAGATAATTAACCATTTCAATGTATACCTTGTTAGTAGCGTGGTGTTATACTGGAACACACCTATTCTATAGTTAATAGACTCTCCCACCTATAATAACTAGTAGTAGTAGCAGTGAGTCGCGCAGTGAGTTGGTCAGTCAGTCGATGTCGGACATTAAAGTATCAGCCACACAACTAGATTGCGAAGATGGATGGAAATAGATGCGTCATTAACTGGATTATAACAAGTTAGATAACGTTTTGTACGTCGAACCTTTTTTGGACCGACTTGGTGAAATAAAAGCCTTCACTGTGAAACTACTCTATAACACGCGACTCGGCTTAAGGTCCGGTAAAGCCTAAATCAAAACCTAAATCATCGATGGATGGATGGATAATTCACACTAATTGGATGGATTGATAGTTGGACTCAATAGTCTGGTTCAAAAATAATCACTCCAGTCAGTAGCCTGACACTGCTAATTATACACCTGTCGGAAAACATATATTCAGTTATTCTGTTTTGATTAGTCTTATGTCTATCGTCTTTTCATGTTGACTTGAATATCGTCTAATTTTAATTGGATGGATTTTAATAACTATGTCCTGGAAGAAGGTCTACTAGACCGAAATGGATGGATCGTCGACATTGAAACAACATTAAAACAGCATACTTGCATATTCGGATTTTTGTTTTTCCATATTTTTCTTCATACTGTCGGATCTATATCCACATATTTGCTTACATAGATAGATAGATAGATAGATAGATAGATAGATAGATAGATAGATAGATAGATAGATAGAACGCCACAAGTAACATCTATGAATAAAAAGAAAGACCACGTAAAATTTTGGAATAAAAATGAAACAAAGAAAGTATGCCATAAAGTAGCATTTGTGAATAAAAGAGAACATAAAGAAAGAAAGAAAGAAAGAAAGAAAGAAGGTGAAAAGTGAAAAGCAGAAAGAGAAAAACAAACGATTACAAAGAGAGGAAATAGCCATTTTTATCGTAATATAATAAAAGCAATGGCTTCCCTAACGACTTTAGTCTTTACTTCAAACTTAAAAAATTAGCTTAATGCATTTTTAGTGAAAACTGTTTGAAGCAGAAAAGTCCATATTTCAAGATAAAAGAATTCATTCAAATTACAGAAAATAAAATTTGCAATCTTCAATCAGAGTTTCGGGTTGGACAAGTGGATGGAGTGTCCGAATGAGATATTTTGTTCTCACTCTTTTTTCGTTAACATTTTAATCTCATCTCTTGACATTGAAGACCGAATCATTCGCTTGTATTGGATCTGGGTGTTGGTTGAATCTTTTTTTTTTTTTTGTTAATTAAAGTGAATTGTAGAGTCTGTTTTCAAATAGTTTCAAAAGGCAGACTTTTGTACTGGGCGTGTCTGCTAAGGACGTGACAGATAATGGCGCTCCACAACTTACTTATCTTTGTAACTACAAACAAATTTTACTCAGTTAATTTAACCGACAGTCCCTCGTATGCCATTCATTTACAAAAGCCAAGTTCTTCAGGTCATCTTTCATCATAATGAGGAGCAGACATTTCATCTGTCGCTTAATAAAAATAATTAACGTGTATATTTTGTTTCCATTTTAATTAGAAAGAGTAGTTTCTGTTTGTCTGATATATACATTTGTACATCATAGATAGATAGATAGATAGTAGCAATGAAGAGTTATTTAGATAGATAGATAGATAGATAGATAGATAGATAGATAGATAGATAGATAGATAGATATGAAGAACTAGTTAGATATATAGATAGTAGTAACGAAGATAGATAAATAGATAGGAGAGAGTAAGTACAGATAGATAGATAGATAGATAGATAGATAGATAGATAGATAGATAGATAGATAGATAGATAGATAGATAGTAGCAATGAAGAGTTATTGAGATAGATAGATAGATAGATAGATAGATAGATAGATAGATAGATAGATAGTAGCAATGAAGAGTTATTTAGATAGATAGATAGATAGATAGATAGATAGATAGATAGATAGATAGATAGATAGATAGATAGATAGATAGATAGATAGATATGAAGAACTAGTTAGATATATAGATAGTAGTAACGAAGATAGATAAATAGAGGATAGATGGAAGTGGAGTTTATTGGGATGGATGGATGGAGATAGATAGATAGATAGATAGATAGATAGATGGATAGATGGAGATAGATGGATGGATAGAGGTTGTTTAGATAGATAGTAACTGGATGGAATGATGGAGATAGAGTTAGATGGATGGATAGATAGATAGATAGATAGATAGATAGATGGATGGATGGAGATGGAGATAGATAGATAGTAGCAATGAAGAGTTATTTAGATAGATAGATAGATAGATAGATAGATAGATAGATAGATAGTAGCAATGAAGAGTTATTTAGATAGATAGATAGATAGATAGATAGATAGATAGATAGATAGATAGATAGATAGATAGATAGATAGATAATCATAAAAAGGTTTTCCATTAAATGATTTACAGAAATATCTAATCTGTGATTCCCCGCAGAAAAAAAAATTGGACACTGATCCGACGAAACCTGCATTTTTAACACAAAATTCTATCTTGTATATTTCTTATTTCCACTGCCTCACACCATTTTTTTCACTTACCTGGAACGCCCAAAATTTGAAAGTTTTCAAATCCTAACCACCAGATAAAAAAAAATATTTATTGATTTCTTCCCAATTAAAGCGGATTTTTATCTTTTTAATTAGCGTCAAAATATCGGAAATCCTGAACCGTTCGATATAGACGTACAAATCTGAAAATATCTTAGACTGTTTCAAGTTTTTATAATCGTTAAAAACTGATCGATTCCCACGTATAAAATTCTTCTTCAATCATTTTCTATCAGTTACATAACAAAATTCAAATATTGTTTTTTTAGAAAAGCTTTTGATAATTTCAAATTCCCTAAGTTTGTCAATTTGCAACAAAAATGTACACTTCCTAAATTGCTGTCTAATCTTATATAGGAGTTCGTAAATACATCTGCTTAATTCTTCTGTGTACCGCGTACCATTTTAAGGCATGAACTATCAGGAATTTGTTATTCTCTTATCAATGTTTGTTTTTTTACTATCTCTCCCAGTCCTTGTTCTCCCATCACTTTACACAATCTCATTGTGTAAGTTATGTGCACTTCATTTTTGTCCATTTTGCTTCAATTTGTCCCTATGAGTGTCAAATTTTTCAAACCCTCTTTTCTCATTATGTCCCAGAAATTCTGTCTCTTCCAGATTTTAAAGTTATTTTTGTTTCTATTTCCATTAAAACTTCCTCTTTGCACAGATTCTCTGTCTAAGGTATTCTCAGCATCGTTCTGTAGAATTACATCTGATGAAGTTTTCCGACATTCGATGCCATATTGGGACATTGAAATTACATAGCAGTTCAACACTCTTTCCTTCCTTTCTAATTTTCCTGTTTCTTAACACTTTGCTTACATTTTGGAAGGCCTTTTTTGCTATTCCACTAAACTTTCGGATTTCTGTGTAACATTTTACTGATAAAACATTTGCCAGTAACTTCTTTACTTGTTTTTATTTTGACATTTTTAATTTACGGTTCGCATCTCGGGTTGTTCTTTTTTGGGGGGGGTATTTTGCTGAAAACCATGCATTCTATCTTGTTACAATTGATAGTTAGTCCTTAGTGTCATCTGTGGATTTTATATTGTCCCAGTTGTGTCAAATGATAATAAATCCTGATAGGGTCCCCGTCTTCCGTAGAATTGTCTCGCTGTAAAAACTAAATAAGTCCGGCGAGAAGACCCATCCTTGTCTTTTGATCCTATCTATTTTTGTGTACTTACTCAATGTATTTCCTATCTAGGATAAGTTCATGATTATTTTAACACTCTTCCCCAATAAAGCAAGTTTTCCGAGCAGGTCCAACAGATTCTTGGCTGTGCCTTATCTAATGTTTTTACAGAATCTATGGAACGAATGTTATGCCACTAAGGAACATTTATTCTAAGTGAAAGTTGTCTGCGATGACCGCAATGTGTACTGGATTCAGCCTAGATGATACGAAAATAGTTTTTTCACTCAATGTTATTCTAAAGCGTCAGAGTAATCAGGTATAATTCTTTCCAAGTTCAACAAAGGACAAGAACAGAAAGGGATAAATAAAGGTGAGTCTTTTCCAACAAAAGATGGTTGACAACTATATTGTTGGTTGATTGGCTTATTTGTTTAGCGGCATATCAACATCTCTATAATGTCGAAATCTAAATATTTTGAACACAATTTTATGCCTTCAACTACAGATAAAATGTATTGTTGGTCATTTTGCTATACAAAATATTATTGGTCATTCTGCTATAAAATATATTCTTGGTAATTTTTTATATAAAAATCTATTGCTGGTATTTTTATGTTTTCTTAAGGTTTTGTTTTTGTTTGGAATTTCACTATTTGCTCATAGCTGTGACCCCCCAACCCCAACAGGTGCTAGGAAGCCGAGTGAGGCAGAACCTGCAAACACCATTAATTAAGAGGTGGTTCAAGCTCCTCAAAAACTCCAGTCTCCTGATTAGAGGCCTTGCTGCCGGATGTAGTTTACAGTCATACCCAGGACTAGGCAACTATATTAGAAGCAAAAGTAAACGTGATATTGATCAAAGATCCATTATTTTCCAATCCGACAAGTGAACATATTTCTTGAACTTGGATTAAAATTCGTATTCCAAAGCAAATATAACAAAAGGCATTATGTTTAATACAGTAATAGAAGTAGTTATCAACATGAAAACTTCTGAAATGACTTTGCATGCAGATAGAAATTCTAATAATAAAGCGTGTAGAAAAGAGTAACCATCGACTGATTTGTGAAAGGCAATATGGCGGTTAAAATGCGCATGATCAAGATCACAGTGAATGCCATGAACGTGATTATAAAGCACAATTAAGCGGCAGTCTTTTACATTAAGTTTCTTCAGAGAAACGGAGGAAAAGAAAAAAGAAAAATGGGGGGGGAGGAAAGAAACGCGCCACCAGAACAGAAGGGGGAGGAACAGAAAGAGAATATAGCAAAAACTGGTACAGTAAACAAAACAAAGATTAGAAATGTAGTAATCTTAATTAAAAGAAGAATACAAAAAAAAATGAAAGAGAAAAAAAAAAGCTGTTGACTGACTTTGTTTTTTACAGCTTATCAACCTTTTCAGCTTATCTAAAGCCAGAAAATATTTTTTGGATTATGAGAATATTCTTTTCTTTACGGATACAAGTTCTACATATTAACAAAATGAAAGAGAATATAAAAAAAACCTGTTGGCTGATTTTGTTGTTTTTTACGGCTTATCACCCCTTTTGCAGGTTATTTAAAGCCATAAAATATTTTTTTAGATTGTAAGAATTTTCTTTTCGATAATAATGATTTACGGATACAAGTCCTACATATCAACATATAAATAAGGGGTGGGGATTAATATCTTTCCCAGGGGTATTTTCACGTAAATGAATATAACAAGCCCGGTTGGATTTGGAACGCGGCTCTCCGATTTCCAAATTACTGCAGTTATCTATTACACCACCTGCACATCCAAGCTTACAGCACCTGGTATTCCAAAGCGGTCGCCCATTTGTGACGTAATCAGGATCGAAATTGCTTAACTTCGGTGATTGTACGAAAACCAGTGTTTCAACGTGATATGGACGTAAGCCAATAACTAATTAATGATTGTGTATCTCTTCGATGAGTCTTAGAGAGGTACAGTTATGTCGTTTTAAATTCAGTGTATTTGGAAAAGAATTTTAAAAAAATATACAAACTACTTATATTTGGACTTTGTTGTTGTTATTACAACGTTTCGATCGTTGTGCCCTCCGATCTTCTTCAGGTGTATATCGATTTGGGTAACCTACAAGGAATTCTGAATTGTCTTTAAAAATCCGTTAGACCAGTTCATCACCCAGAAAGATTTCAAGTTCTAGGAAGATGGAATAATGAAGCTGCC